GTGCCAAAACCAAACACTCGCGTCCTAATACATGGACAACTGTAATTCACTCCACGCAAGCACATAAACACATAAGCACTTACGAATTTCATTTCCGGATAATGATAGTCCCAAGGCGTTACTAGAGTTCCGGTTAGAAACAACATTGATCAAGTGCTTTTCCAACAAGACTCCCAGAAACCCAAGGATCCAATCAACATCCTAGAAACTACATTCCATACCCACATAGTCACATAAGCATGTTATTAATTAAGCACATAGCATATGACACTATATCTAAGTCTCTATCAAGCGAGACAAACCCATTGTGATCCTAATCACTTCTCACGTACCCAAAGTATTCGAATCCGGTAGGCTCTGATACCAAGTTGTAACGCTCTCAAAATAATACATAAAACCCAACACTTTAGACATGCATTGATATAAAAGAAACCAACCATTTCTATTCATCAGAGTAATTCTTACAACTGTATTACATGTTAACAACAAAAGCAAATGCCCTATGGGCTTACAGCTTTCCAAGTCAACACCTGGTTACACAAAAGAAGAGTACTAACTCTATACAAAATAAGCCCTTGACTTGATATACATGTAATACAAACAAAAATAAACAAAAAAAAAAGAGTCTTCAACTCTCATCATCATCCAAGCTATGTCCTTGGAGGTGGCATACTACCTGTACCTGAAAATAATGTCCCATATAGGGTGAGCCAACGCCCAGTAGAAATATGCTAAACACAGTATGAGCAATAACTAAGATATTAGCAATTGATAAATGTTCAATTTGGCTCAGAACCTGGCTAACCACTTATATGAGACAGTGACTTATATTAAACATTTCCCATTTTTACAGTAGAGAAACATACTAGTTATATCAACATCTTAACAGATAAGCATACAAGATGTATCCATATTTCAACAGATATGCATGTTAGCTATATCCATACTTCAATTGACAAGCATATGAGCTGTATCAACACTTCCAGAGATAAGCATACGAGTTATATCAACACATTATCTGACAAGCATATGAGCTGTATCAGTGGAGTCCATCCCCTATCTCCTCCCGAACAACATCCGGTTTAGAGGTCCATCCCCTATCTTCCCCTAAACCGTGGAGTACATCCCCTATCTCCTCCCACACACACAACGTATATACACAAAGGTCATATACACAATCAATCAATCAACCAATCAATCAATACATAACGTTAATGTATTCTATCAACAGTCATACCCTATGACATATCCAACTGATTAGTTTTAGTTTGCCTAATCATCATGCATTGTCTACAACAATCAAAACTACCCTTCACCGGTAGCCCAAGCAATTATTTCTAAACAGATAATAAAAGCTCCAACAGATAAAATATCAATGTTTTCAAAAGTGAGCGATTAATAAATCTAACTCCACTATTCAACCATATAATGAACCAATTTCATTATTTCCAACTCAATTCCATAAAGTCACGATTTTCCCAAAATTAGGGTTTTCCACCCGATTCCCAAATATTGACCCAATGGTCTAAATATCAACAACCAATAACGATATCATTATTTTGAACCCACAATACATATTTTAGACTCAAAATAACAAATCCTCTTTTAACATTTTGAAACCCTAAGTCCCAAAATTTACCTAATTTCAACACTTTATCAAAATAACCAAAAATCTAGGTTAAAGACCATAAGAGTGAGTAGGAATCCCTACCTCAAATTCGGAGCTCAAGGAAAGAAGGTGAAGCAACTCAACGTGCTCCAAAACTCAATATTCTCGGATCAATGGATAGCGCTCGACGATCAACCCAACTTTTACAAAGGTCGAAGGAAAAGAAAACACTCTAACTAGATCAAACCCTAGAGAGAAGGGAGTTTCTAGAGAGAGGAACTCTCAAAATGTCTTTTTAGAAAGTAAGAGAGAGAGAGAGAGAGAGAGAGAGAGAGAATGTAAAAAGTGATTTTAAAATGCCCAGCTGCCAACTAATATACGACATTCCCGCTCGAGCGGAGAACACAACGCTCGAGCGTCAAGAACAAAAAACTAGGTCCGCTCAAGCGCAATAAGGCCCGCTCGAGCGCCAAGACACAAGAATAAAATACATCCGCTCGAGTGCGAAAACCAGTCCGCTCGAGCGTAGATTCTCCCTCCCAGGACTTACACCAAAAAGTACTACCTGCTCGAGCGCCAGAGTACCCGCTCGAGCGCCACCGCTCGAGCGCAAAGAAACCCGCTCGAGCGTGAAAAACATGCCTGCAGAAGTTCTGCAGAGCACCAAAACATTGGGAGCGTGCAATCTCCGCTCGAGCGCAAGAAGACCCGCTCGAGCGGACCTCAGTTCTGCAAAGTACCAAAATACTGGGAGTGTGCAATCTCCGCTCGAGCGCAAGAAGACCCGCTCGAGCGGACCTCCTAAAAACTGGGCAACAAAGAATTGAAACCAAAGCCTAACCAACCTGTAACAACTCTGCCCAATACATCCTAAAACTCAATCAAGCGGAATTAAAGGATGACAACAAGGTATACCACCACCAACATCACGGAACCGAGTCCGGAATACAACAGAACAGTAAAGGGACAATCGGGATCGCTATAACTCTCTCTCTCTACACCATTTCTCTAAAGAGCTTCAAACGACCACTGTCTATCGCCAACGTCGTTATACCATCACCGTCGCCATGGCCGTCCACCTGCTACCAACTACTACCACCATCACCTCATTATTTGATCACCGCCATCATTCACCAACAATTTCTATCATTTTTTTTTTTATCTCCACCACCACTGATCTATACTTCGCCATTGTTGATTTATACTATATAACCTTCGATCTACACACCACCGTTACTGATCCACTACTACCATTCACCAACCACCACTACCATCACCAAACTACACCATCATTGATCAGATCTGGCCATTTACAATGTCGATATAGTATTGTAGCCATCTTCATTGTCATGATGTAGCCATTACATGGTCACCGAGTCTCTTTCTAGTGAGATCAAGTCTCTCTCTCTCTAGTTAAACCAAATTTATCAGTCTTACATTTTTTGTGTGTGTAAATGTGTTAATGTGTTTGTGAAAATATATGTAAGTGAATGTGTATGTATATGAGTGTAAGAGTATAAAAGAGTATTAATTAAATGATCTAGTTATTTATCATTGATAAATTTATCACTGTTAACATTTATCTCTATCTTCCTCCATTTCTTATTATTTTTCTTAAACCAAATTAGCTGCAAATCATGGTTTAATATATCAGTCATAAATTTATCACCGAATAATCATTAATTCTTGTATTGATTTGTGACGGTGATGATATATTCAACGATAAATTTATCATTGAATCTGTCTTTCATTCTTTGTGTTGATTGTGAATGTGAAGAATAATGAGAACTTCTGGGAAAGGTTCCTTATTCCTCTACTTCATTCTTGTTCTTCTCTTTTTTCTCATTGCCACCAGATTTGAGGAAGTGGTGGTGGTAGTGTCGCGTTAGAGATGGAAAATGACCAAAAAAATAGTTAAAGGTAATTGTTGGAGGTCGATGGTGGTTGCCGACAGCTATAAATGGTGACTAGAGGTGGTTGCCAACGGTTAGAAGTGGTAGTCAGTGGCCAAAGATGGTCTCCGACAGCCAAAGATGATAACCAGCAGTTGTCGGTGATAACGTGCCATGGGAATATTAATAGATGAAAAAATAAACAAGATTTATCAGTAAATAAATCTAGTTAAGGCTTGAAATATTATTCCCATATTAGGACCTATTGGTAGTTTATTACCCATAGTACCAACCGTTAGAAACAATAAGTAGTTTACCCAAATATTATTTGATTCACATTTTTAAGGCTTAAACTCATTACTTATAAGGGGTTGTTTGGGATAACCTAAATAAGTGCACTTTTTGTCTTTTTACGAAAAGATGTGCAGAAAAATAGAGAAGTGATGTGATGAAAAAAAGATAAAAGATAAAAAGTACGTACTTATTTTGAGTAGCCAAACTTGGCCTAAGTGTGATACACGCAAAAATAGGCCCCAATGAGAAACATGTATTACAATTTGGGCCAAAATAAAGCCCAAAGTTCCTCAAGTCTCAAACTGCATCTTTGACCTGATGAATTTCGGTGCAACATGGTAAGAGGGAAGAGTAGTCCACTTACAAAACCACAAGTGTCCAAAATTAATTTTTAGTTTTGAAATTCAAAAATTGTTTTAGTTTTTTGCCCTTTGTATTGAGTAAATTTTTTCAAATTTATTTTCTTTACCCTTTAAATTTACTTAATTTAGATCCACTTAAGACATAAAATATTTGTGTTTAAAAATTTCTTCACAAATACAATTTTCACTAAATTTAAGTGTATTTAGATACGTTTGTCGAAAAAGTTTTTAAAAAAATTATGAAAATATTAAAAATTTTACTAAGACAAGAAAATATGAACAAAAAACTCAAATACAATTTCCAAAAACAAAACCAAACACCTAAGGGCTAAAAATGTCTTGTCCAGTTTGGTATCATTTTTTTGAAGTCTATATTAATCGGTGAAAATTTTAAATTTATGTGAAAATAATTTTTTTAAAAATTAGAGAACAAGTGTTTGGTGCTTCTTAAAAAGAGCATTGTATTCAAATTTTTTTCTTCCAGAAAACAGTTTTCTGGGAACTTTTTGCCAAACTAACTCTATTTTATTTGGTTAGTAATTTGTCATCTATTTTTAATTAAAATGCATATTTATTTTTGTTTATTTCAGTGTGTACCCAGCATCAGCATTAATTTCAATCGTTTTAGCCATACTAAAAAGGAAGTCAATAAAATTATATCAAAAGTGTGGACAAACTATATTTTCTCCAAATTTCAAGAAAGTGAATGTAATTTTATATATTAAGGGGTGAATAACACTCACCCCTTGAGGTTTAAAAAAAAATAGTCAACCCCACACTTTTGATATTAGCAGAGATAAATTTAAGAAAATTTTCAATTTTACATCTGAAGATAAATTTATTATCCAAAAGATAACAGACTTGCACACATTATACATAAAGATCAAATATAAAGATAAAAACAACATAAGTATCAAATATTAACACGAATCAGTTAAACTAACTTAAATATTTTTTTCAGCCACCCTAGTGTAGTTCAAGTGAATTGATTTTTTGAATTCTCTTGGTGGTGACCAATGTCCACTCCATTCGCCAACTGTCTTTTTCACTAAATGAGCTGTATGTAGTAAGAGTAGAATTGCCATTACACCGCACCACAAAATTATTGCAACTGTAATTGTATGACTAAGTGGTTCTCTGTCAATTTTTGGTGTGATCACAACAATAGAAATTGCATATGTTACTGCCATTGATGTAATGGTCAACCACATGATCGCGGCTAGAATCCACATGAAAATCCTTCTCTTGAATGACAATCCACTTATGAGCAACAGGATTGTGCTTAGAGATGCAACAAATCCTACTGTGCCAGCACGAATGAAATATGGATATGAATCTGGATAATTATAAGCCATTACAGCTTCTCCAGCTCTGTGTCCGTCTGAGTTGTGCCAAACACCACTCGGAGGGCTCACCCCAGCTTGGAAAGCTATTGTTGGAATGAGTGTTGCCACCAATATTATTGTCTCCTTTTTCTTTGCCAACCACTCAGACTGTCCAACATCCTTGCCACTCATGGCTCCGGTTTTTCAGAGTTTTAATATCATTTGGATTTTCCACATCCTTTCTAATTTGTGCTAGAATGTCCAATGTTTTGTACTTGCTAGCATTTTTTATGTGTACATCTAGCGTCGCATTACTAAGGTGTTTTGAGAAATTGGTAAAAAGTTGACTTTTGACTTTTTATCAAGTTTTTTGACTTTTTTGGAAATGATTTGAAAAGTTGATAAAAAACTAACCTTTTTGCTTTTTGGTTTAATATTTTTTAAAAGTGTCACATCACTCTAAAGTGACCAAAATATCCTTACTTTTTGCATCTCAACAATTTTTTTAATTAATTAATTATAATGTTCCAGAGAGTAGTTTGGTAAATTTGTAAGTGGCTTTTTTGGGTCTTCCCAAATGGTATCAGTGCTTTTTTGCAAGGGTTGGTGTTTTTGGGAAGTTGCTCAAAACACAGCTTTTTGTTGCGTTGCCAAAACGGCACTAAGCATTAGTAAGCAAGTAGTTTAAGGCCTGCCAAAAAAAAAACAAAAAAACTTTAATTACTTCCCGTAATATGTTAACTAGTTGCAACTTTGAGAAAATCATTTTTTGTTTAAAAAAAAAAAAAAAACCACACTTGATTATAGTCATTTCTCAACTTGTTTATTCGCCAAAACTAGATGTAATATGGTGTTGCCTCTTCCATCTTTAACATTCACAAACTCTTTATTTTTAGGATAAATTACACACACACCCCTTGAAATTTACTTAAATTACAAATTACCCCCATGTGGTTCTAGTAATTACATTATGCCCATAAGGTTTCTAATTTCATAACAAATAGGTCTTTTTATTAATAAATCATCAAGTTAATTAACAATTTTTAATAATGTTAAAATTTTATTTCAATTAATAATTTAGATAATTTTATTATTGCATAGGTGAACAGTTATAAATTTCACTTTTTTAATTAATTCTGTTAAATAAAAAATTCTGACAGAAAGGTATTTGTAATTTTCCAAACCACAAAGCACAATTTGTATTTTAAGCAAATCTCAGTAGGTGTATTTGTAATTTACCCTTATTTTTAATGGTATTCATCAATTCTTTTAAACACTCTAACTAGTTGCACATCATTCATGAGTATAAGATGATCTCACCTCAGTCCATCACAACTTCAGTTGCTTCAGAATTGGCTTGAACACACTTTCAACACATCGACCTTGCCCTACATGACTGCAAGATGTAATGCACTTTTACCATCATTGCCACAAGCAAGGCACATGTCAAGATCTACTGATATCAATGCTTTTACAACCTCAACATGCCCCTTTACTGATGCTAGGTGAAGGGACAAACATTGTGAAGAGTCCAGAACGTCAGCAAGATCTGGATGTCGATGCAAAACTTCCCTCACAAAGTCTGCATGCCCACCGCAATGCAGCCACATGCACAGGACTCCAACCAAACCTACCAAAGTTCACTCTATCAACACTAGTGGATCTTCTCTGAGTATTTGATGTAATAATGTAACGTTGCCTTTTATTGCTGCTTCTTGAAGCTTCTGTTCCATTCTCTCTAGCTCTCTATGACAATGAATATGAATATATGAGCAATGCAAAAGAAAAAGAGCTGTTAACAATGAATATGAATATGGAATTTTGGTCAAACTATTATGATCCATTCATTTTAAAACAAAAGGTCCATCATGACCAAAATTTATAAAAAAATCTTGTTAACCACTGCTCAATAGGCGTTTGTTAAAGATAAAAAATAAAAAATAAAAAACATATTTCACATAAATATATACATCTTTATATAAATCTATACAGTTTTTTCATGTATTTCAATACACATTCTAGTATTATAGTAATGTTCATAAATAAAAAGTGTATCTACCCTTTCAAATTTCTTAATAGTATTTGGCCATAAACCAAGGTTCCAACTCCTTCCACGTGGTATCTAACTAAAATATAGAAACAAAATGTAGGTGTCAAAAAAAAAAAAATAAATAAATAAAAAAACTACCAAAAATAAGTATCCACTGAAGAAGATCCTTCTCCTTCCCTTTTTTTCTGAAGAAAAGGAAGATCCCCACAAAATCGATGAAATAGAAGAGATCCGAGTGAATGGAAAGGAAAAAACTAGTGTAAAATTTTTAGAAGTCTTTTGGGGTCCCAAGCTTTGCTCTATAGAAATTAACTCAAATATATTATGGAAAATGCTAAATCAACCAAACAAAAATTATACAGAATTTGCTCACATCATGTAGAAATGGTACACTTAAAATTATAATCATAATAATGGATGTTATGCTTTTAAACTAAAGTGATATAATTATCCTATACAATTTATATTTATATATATATATATATTGGTACAAGGTATGAACAAATACAATAATGTTTCTACACAAAGGGGAGGGGGGACTGGGGGAATCGAACGCCAGTGAGGCTTGAAACCCCCACACCCGTAGTCCTGTAAAGGGACAGCTATCCATTTGTATTTATATAGTTCTATTCATATATTATATCAAAGCACATATTTTTCACATGTTATCTAACTCCACAAAAGTATAAAAAATGAGTGAAATATATTTATATCAAGTCAACTCTTTGAACATGAGATCCAATTCCACCACAAAATAAAATTAAAAAAAGAAAAAAAAAAAAAAAAAGACTTGAAGATAGTAAGTCAACAAAAATATGTGGTTTCACATATTCTTGTGTTTGTGCATTCTATGAACACTAGTTTACTACACATTTCTAGTCACAACTATTCTTAAATATAGACAAAAAATGGAACAGAGGCTCCGCAAAGCAAGCAATACAAGGTAGTGTCACATTATTACATAAACTACTTGGAGAAGATCCAATAGTTCTTGATAGAGTTACCTTTGGCTGCTTCGGTGGGAGTCCTTTGCATGTGGCTGCATTGCGTGGGCATGAAGAATTTGTGATAGAAGTTCTACATCTAAATCCAGATCTTGCTGAAGTTTTGGACGCTTCACAATGCTCGCCCTGCACTTAACATCAGCAAAGGGGCACATCGAGGTTGTACAAGCGTTGATCCCAGTAGATTTTGACATGTGCCTAGCTCGTGGCAAAGATGGTAGAAACCCACTCCATCTTGCAGTCATGAAGGGCAAGGTCGATGTTGAAACTGTTAGTTGAAGTCAGCCCCCATGCAGCTCAAGTCATGATGGACCAGGGTGAGACCATTGTACATTTTTGTGTGATGTGCGGCCAGTAAGATTCTCCTAAGGAACTGATGAAAACCTTTAAAAAATAAAGAGTTTGTGAATACTAAAGATGGTAGAGGCAACACCATATTACATCTAGTTGTGGCAAATAATCAAGTTGAGGTACGATTGTACACAAGTTATTATTATTATTATTATCATTTATATTTAAAACAAAATACCATCTGGCCAAAGTTGAAACTGTTTAATATATTCTGAATAGTAATTAACGTGTTTTTTTTTTTTTTTTTTAATCATCTTTCATTTAGCGGCAGCATGACTGCACAAGTGAAAGATAAAGTCTTAAGGTATTTGGTCTCATAGGCTTATGCTATTGTGATTGACCAGCACAAAACCCATACATCATCCGAAAAAATGAGGCATCGCATTCCACAAAAAAATGGTGGAAATAGGTTATATATATATATAGATCTTATTAACATGTGCCCCAAGGGCGCACATGTTAGCCGGCTTGAATAAAAAATTTGTGCATTCTTCATTGTATGGACTTTCATGCAGAATTTACAAATTTTTAAACTTCTTAACATATGTTCTAAAGGCACACGTTAAAAAAAGAAAAGAAAAAAGAAGCCCAATTAGGGGAAAGATTAAGTACACACCAAACCTTTGGCAGAATGCACAAAGTGGTGGCCTTAAGACTTAAATCCGTAACCTTAAGATTATTAGGCTAAGTCTTAACCATTGAACCAATGGTCATATAGATATATATATCGTTGAAATTGGTACAGTTTGTCCCTCATGCAAAAATGGCCCCTTGAGGATATATCATACAATCACTTTCCTCACCTGCGAGTCAATTCAGTAAGTTCATTAGTTTATTTTACTTTGCAGGTCTTGAGTTACTTGTTTAGTGCCAATGAAAACATAGATGCAAACATAACTAATGCTAGCGGACACACGACACTGGACATTCTGAGAGAAATTAGAAAGGATATGAAAAATTTATAGTGATAACCGGTTACTCTCCCGTGGACGTAGGCATTGGGCCGAACCACGTAAAATATTGTGTCTCCTTATGTGTGGGTGTGTTTTTCTGCTTGCAATGATTTCTATAAGGTCTTGGGCGGGATCCCAGATCCCAACAGGACATTCTGAGAGAAATTAGAAAGGATATGAAAAATTTAGATAATATCGAAGATCAACTCCGAAACGTTGGAGCTATTAGAAGCAAGGATCTCACAGAGTCAATGGCTGGCAAAGAAAAAGCAAACATTAATGGTACCGGCATTGTTCATTGCAATAATAGCTTTTCAAGCTGGGGTGAGCCCTCCAAACGGTGTTTGGCAAGACAATTCAAACAGACAAAGAGTTGCAGAAGCTATAATGGCTTGTAATTATCTAGATTCGTTCCCATATTTCCTCTGTGTTAGCACGATAGGATTTGTTACATCTCTAAGCACAATCTTGTTACTCATAAGTGGATTGCCTTATAAGAGAAAGGCTTTTATGTGGATTCTAGTTGCGGTCATGTGGTTGACCATTACATCAATGGCAATATAGCTTATGCAATTTCTATTGTTGTGATCACAGCAAAAATTTACAGGAAATCACTCGGCCATACTATTGTAGTTGCAGTCATTGTGTGGTGCAGTCTAATGGTAGTTCTTCTCTTACGGCACACGGCTTGCTTAATGGGACAAGTGATTAAGGAGGAACAGAGTAGACATCTGGTAGCCAAGAGGATTAAGAAACTCAAATCGCTCAAACCACATCAGGAGCATATAAAAGGATGATTAAATTTAATTAAAGTGAGCCATTCTAATTTTTTATCTTTTTTTATTTTTCTATCATTATGTTTGATGTGTGAATTTTTGTTATGCTCCATTTTGTATCTTTGATTTATGGTGAGAAAAAAAAAAAATGAATGAGAAATTGTATTACTTTTGTTGGAAATTTAAGTTTCAAAAATTAAAAATTATAGTCATAATTCACATTTTTATCCACTTCCTAAAAGATGTCACTTCTGTAGGAAATAACAAATTCTTGAAACAAACAGAAAACAGAATCAATGTGCTTCTTTCAAGACGTGCACTTTGTTGAAGCAAACAATATAGGCTCTGTTTGGTAAGCCTCTCAAAATATAGTTTCACCTATTGATTTGAGTATGTTGTTTGTTTGGAGTTTTCAAATCATAATTCTACACCTATTTCTCAAAACTCAATTCAAAACATAATCATTACTTTTCAGAACTCATAACCAAACACATAATTCAAAACTCTTTTCAAAACTCAATTCAAATCAATATTTTAATTTTGTTAAGATTTTAAATATTTTAATATTTAAATATGTTACGATTTTTTTAATTTTTTGAATATTTTTAAATATTACAATTTTAATTTTTTAAATTTTAAAATATTTTATAAAAATAAATTCAAACTCTATTTTATAAAAATATTTTTAAATATTTTAATTTTTTTGTTATGTATTTGGTTACGATTTGAGTGTAGAGTTGTGAAAGTAGTATGGAGTTTCGAGTTATGTGTTTGGTTATAAGGTTTGAAAATAATTTTTGAATTGAGTTTTGAGTTATGTGTTTAGTTACGATTTGAGTCTGAAATTGTATTTTGAGTTTAAAATATTTAAAAAATTAAAATATTTACAAAATAAAATAAAATATTTAAAAAAATTATATATTTAAAATAAAAAATAAAATTTTATTAAACATTTTAAAATATTTTTAAAAAATAAATTCAAATTTTTTTAAAATACAACTCAAAATTCAAAAACTCAAAATTTAAAATACAATTCAAAATTTTTTCAAAATTGAAAATTTTTGAGTTGCACTGAAATGAAATTTCCCTATATAAAAAAGGACTAATTATTTCAAGAAATAATCTTAAAAATAGTATTAATTCAAATAGTTAATTACTTTATTTTCTTCTTTCTTTTTTTTATTTATTTATTAGCAAGAGTTATTTTTTTAGTTGGCATATAAGGTTTTGATTTTTAACAAAAAGTTGAATGATATGATATTAGGGCATTGTTATCAAACTCGGTAAAATCTTTTTTTAGCTAAACTAGCGATATAAACTTCAAAAAATCAACTCCATCAGTCTCGCTTTAGCTCATTTCATTTTATGATTGCTACAGTACCTCGCTTGTTAAGCGAGGTATTGTTCATTGCTACAACAAGCAGAACATCAAGCAAATTAATGTTACCGGATGTCCGCCTGAAAATTCGGCCAAACGTCCAACCAGTCAATGGCAATTTATTTTTTATATTTTTTTTTGTGTTTTTTAAGAATTGTTTGGTTGGTAACTCATCAATTTAATAGAAAAGAAAGTACAAAAGAGGTGACTAACTAAAATAACAAAATAGGTTTTTAAGCTCTAATTTAACTAAATATTTGAAGAAGCTAGTGTGGATACTCTTATTTCAGCAATGCTAGGAATCATGAAAAATCTTTCATGAAAATGGTCATGAAAGATTTGTGACCTTTGGATTACACTTACAATAAAACACCACACAATAATCAAGGTAATCTAAGGGTCACAAATTTTTCATAACCTTTTTCATGACAAAACTTTCATGATCTCTAACATTTCTCTTAATATACGGAGAATAATACCCACACACCATATGGAGATTCAAAATATTGACCTGCTAGAGAGCTACAAAATGAGTTGGCCTTGTTGGTTAATAGATAGTCATTAGATAGGGAAAAGTTGAACATCATGGTAACTTTTTAGCAATAGGAACCCATATAAGTCATTGGAAAAAGTCTTACCTAACCAAAACTCATCACCTCATGTGCCAAAGTCAAACGATTGTTCTAACTTCCTTATTTCCTTTTTTGTGGTCAACAAAAAAAGATTTTGAGTTGGGAAAAAATATTTTCCACTTTTTAAAGAAAGTTTTCCTATCTAATGAGACAGACTTAGAGCCTTGCAAATGCCACTATCATTATCACGACTACCACCGTTACTATTATCACTGCCACCACACTATCCAAACACGACCACTACTACCTCATCACCTACCTATCCACCACCTATACTGCCTTACCACCATGCAACCACCACCATCACCGCCGCCACCACATACCATCCTACCACCAAAACACCGCCACCACCATTGTTTGTCAACACCACTATTACTACAACAACCAGTACCCATCATTTTCAGGATTGGAACTTAAACAAACTGTCTAAGAATTGATGTTTTAAGCAACCATACTATCTTTTATTTTACTTGTCCCTTCTTCTAACCCACATTTGACCGTCTTACTTTAATATCCAAGACAACTCTCATTTGTGCTTAGCTTACCCTTCCTATTTTGATATCTACCCTGCTCCTCCAATAATTTTTTTAACCATCTCCACTTTTCATCATCTCTTTCACCATGGCTTGAATGGTTTTGATCGATATAATTTTCCAATCTTAAGTACTGATCACAACATAGTGTGAAATTGTCGACTTATGGTTCCGAGGAAATATCATTTTGTCCCCCAAACTTTTACGTGTTTTTTAATTTGACTCCCAAACTTCAATTAATATCAATTTTATACCCAAACTTTCAAAATTTTGATCAATTTGGCCTCTACCGTTACATTCCGTCTATAATTGGATGGAATATACTGACGTGACACTAAAGTTTATTTGAAATTTCATTTTACTCTTCAAGCTACACTTAAAAATCAATTTGTCCCCGAAATTAAAAATCAATTTGCCCTTTAAACTATACCTTAATAATCAATTTGCCCCTCACGTCAACACATTCCGTTCAATTGTAGACAGAATGTGACGGCAGAGGCCAAATTGATCAAAATTTTGAAAGTTTAGGTGCAAAATTGATATTAATCGAAGTCGGGGGGTCAAATTGAAAAGCACGTGAAAGTTTGGGAGGCAAAATGATATTTTCTCTATGGTTCCGTGGAACAAACAAACATATTTTTAATTGTTCTATTCCTAAGGTTGTGGGAGAGAATATATAAAAACAGTGCCAAAATCTCATCTATTATCACATTTCTTGTGGCCACCAATCGCCCTTCATCATGGAGAGTGTTACATAGCTTATTGAAAGCATGTGTGGTCATGAACAATTATGATATGCTTGTGTCTTCAACTCTTAGAGATTCCATCCAAAGCCCTTTAATCAAATCCACTTGAAGGCACTTTCACCATGTACTTGCAATGATACCAAGCTTCAATAACACAAACAAGATAACTTAAAACAACACACAAATTCCATTTATTCCCTTGAACATTTTCGTTGAATAATTAAACCTCTTCCATTAGTAGGCATTTTTCCTAAATATGTAAATTTGTTGAATAAACAATAATCAAAGAATAGATAAGAATAATGTAGTTGTTGTCTAAACCAACAACTAAAATCAATTTCCAAAGTTTGATATATAGTTAGTTTGCCAAAGAAGTCAAATCTCACCTCTTGTTTCTTTGCTTTCACCTCCAAATTAAGAGCGCTTAGCTTGTTGTAGTAACTCTTCACAGTCTCTATCTCCTGTTTGAATTTTACACAACAACATATTTTAGCTTTTCTTTTTTATATATTTTTTAAGATTTACTGGAAAGTAGAATGAAAAGAAAAATACCAAAATAGAAGATTATTGGGCTATTTTGGGAAGTTGGCTTTTAACCACTTTTTTTGGTTTGTAACAAAAGCTAAAGTTGGCTTTTTTGCATTTTTTTTTCATTTGGGAAGTTGGTTTTTAGCTACTGATGAAATTACAATTCTACCCCTCATGAGTCAAAATGTGTTACATGAGTGAAGTTGTAAATATTTTAAATTAATGGGGGTAGTTTAGTCATTTTATTGTGATTTGACATCATAAACAAATATTAATCAAAAAAGTCAAAAATAACTTTTTACCAACTTTCCAAATCATTTGTCTAAAAAAACCAAAAAATTACTTTTTACCATCTTTCCAAAATAGGCCAAAGACATTGGTGGGAAAATTGACGAAATAGACAAAATCCATAATCGCAAATACTTTGTTAATTGGAATGTAAACTAGATGTCTCCTTTCTTCTTATGCAACTTTACATCCTTCAATCAATTGAATGGGGCAATACATTGCAGTATTCATATCTTTCCATCACTAGTAAATCTGTTTATTTTTAGACCCATAATGGGCCATCAGCTAATTGAAGTATTCTAATTAAAGAAGACAACAAATTTTCATAGCTGTATTATCCTGTCACAAATTTTGGAAATGCTTTACCATGAAAAACAAATAAATAAATAAATTCCGGAAGAGTCTCCTCAATGTGTACTTCAGTTCAGAAACTGAAATTTGTTTGGCAGTTGATCTAGAATTCCATAATTGGTTGTCTCTCGCACTTATGAACTGTTGTCCTGAAAATTAAAGCAAAAACTAGCATTTGGAATGCAAGGATAATCATACGTGCAACTAAAAAAGTTGGAACTTGGAATTTACAATTGAACACAAGGAGTAAACTATAACACACAAATATGTTTGCTTATTAAAAAATATTTTGCAATGTATTTTGCATCACTTTTATAGTGAACCAAACATGATAATGGATATTTTAATGGAATAATCATACCATTTTCCACCTTTATTCCAGTGAACCAAACACTACCTATGAGTGAGTGTCTTTTGGAGTAAAGGGTAAATTCTTATAGGCATGAAAACCATTTTTCTCTCTTGGTTGAAAACATTTTTCAGAGGAAGCATAAGAGTTGTAGTACAGCTGAGATAACAGAGAGCAAAGAGAGAGAGAATTACAGAGAGTGTTGTAATTCTTACCATTTTGTTCAATATAGTGAATCCGCTGCCCGTGGACGTAGGCGACTTGCCGAACCACGTTAAATCTTGTGTGTTATTGCTTGTTTGAGTTTCCTGGTGTGCCCCCGATCCACAACATCTCCTCAATGTGTACTTCAGTTCAGAAACTGAAATTTGTTTGGCAGTTGATCTAGAATTCCATAATTGGTTGTCTCTCGCACTTATGAACTGTTGTCTTGAAAATTAAAGCAAAAACTAGCATTTGGAATGCAAGGATAATCAAACGTGCAACTAAAAAAGTTGGAACTTGGAATTTACAATTGAACACAAGGAGTAAACTATAACACATAAATATGTTTGCTTATTAAAAAATATTTTGCAATGTATTTTGCATCACTTTTACAGTGAACCAAACATGATAATGGATATTTTAATGGAATAATCATACCATTTTCCACCTTTATTCAAGTGAACTAAACACTACCTATGAGTGAGTGTCTTTTGGAGTAAGGGGTAAATTCTTATAGGCATGAAAACCATTTTTCTCTCTTGGTTGAAAACATTTTTCAGAGGAAGCATAAGCCAATAAATGGAATGAATTTTTCTCTCTTGGTTGAAAACATTTTTCAGAGGAAGCATAAGCCAATAAATGGAATGAAATTATTATTTTTTATTTTACCTATCTGAATATTACTATAAAGTATATATTTTATTTTGCCTATCAACTGTTTTATGTTTTTACTCCAACGATGCTCTTTATTTTAGCTATTTATCCAAATACTATTAATTTTATAAAATTCCACGTCAACAATAAAGATGGAGGGAAATGATCCTAATGATTGAATACATTTTGCCTAGCGTTGAAGGCTAGCTACATGTAGCTAGTGAAAATGAGTTGAGCCAAAATGCCTAATCATATGCCTAGTGCATTGGAATTGAAAAAAATGAATCATACTAGGTATTTTAACTAACAAGTATTATATGCCTAGTGCATTGGAGATGCTCATTTGGGAACATCCAAAAAAAAATATAAATCAATTTAATCCATTTTAAATTACATCCTCTCTCATGTCGCACATAAAAAAGTTTTAAAAAAAAATTGAAAAGTAGAAAAAAATCCAAGAGTTAACTTTTAATAATCTTCTGAAAATACCGTTTATTTACCGTTATTTTGGGTTTTTTGGGTTATTATTTCGGATAAACTCAAAATAATTATAAAGAGATAAAAATACATGATTTTGTTATACAATTAAAAAAATTAGTGAAATATCCATATCTAACTTTATGTTGTAGGAGAGATTTAATGTATTTTTTTTCTTATTTATTAAGGTCTTTCAATAATATTATTAGAGAAACTTCAACTACTCACTATTAAAATTTCTCTATGAAGAGTAAAAAATTTCTCTATGAAATTTCTCTCTTAAAAACTGAATTTCTATGTAAAAATATTGTGGAATCCCAATTACTATAAAAATATTTCATATTTATCTTATAAAATTCTAATATCAGGAGCCTTAAGCTAAAAAACCATATACAATTTAATGTATAAATTACTTATACTTTCATAATATTGAAATTATTTTTTTGTTAATACTATTTTTTTGCAATTCTCCCATTAAATTTTGAATAAACTTTTCAAAAATCACATTTTTTTCCTAATTTTTTTAGTAGTTTTTTATTTTAAAATTTGTGTCAAAAATTTTTATTTTTCAAGTTCATCTAGTTTAGAAGGATAAAAAAGTAACTTTATAATTTCATAAAAAATCATTAAAGATAAAAACAAAAGAAAAAAACCTAAATAAAATGCATTTATTTATAGAGATTTGCAAAAAAAAATAGTATTAACACAAAATAATTATAATGTCATAGAAGTACAAGTCATTTATTTATTAGATTGTGCAACTAAAGTCTAAATACTTTCATCTCTTTATAGTTATTTTGGGTTTATACTATTTTTCTACAGTTGTCTCAAATTTAAACGTGTCGTTTGGCAACGAAAAATGAATTGTTATTAAAATTTTAATTCTGTGAAATAGGGCAGAGTTAAAGTGATAGGGCAGTTATTATTTGTTTCAAAATAAAAACAAGCACAAAATGTAACACTCCAATTTTTTATTTACCTCATTTCCCGAGAAATCCAAACAGATAATCCAATCTCAGTATCGAAAGATATCTATGTATACTCATTGGCAATACATATATAGTCAAGGATTTGACGAGAGAAATAGAAAGAAAAAATGAAATGCAATCTCATTTTTTATTTAGTTATAATAGAAAATATAAGAAAAAAGAAAGTGAGAGAAAAATGTAATCTCACTTTTTATCTTTTGAGTTCACTTGTGCTCTTTTCTTTCTTCATTTTCCAACTCAACCAAACATGACTTAGAATTCGAATCCTATTAATTTTTTTTCATTTTCTTTCTATTTCCCTTTTCCTTTCCATTTCGTTTATTAAATCCTTCAATCAAACACAACCTTATTAGTTCTCCTAAATAGAGAAAATGAATTAAACTTCTTGTGTTCTTATATTTTCAAAAACAGAAAACAAAAATAATACACAATTTGCCCTCAGTCCTACAAATTCAATAAAAAAAAAACAATTCATTTTTATTGCCTCTTATTTATAAGTCTGACATTATTTTAAAATTTTCAAATCATAAATAAAACTAATCGTTATATGTTATTTTAACAAAAAGACATGTGCATACATTCACTTTTCAATTGATATAATGAGATTTTTTCTCATAGCCCAGAGCTCAACACAACTGGGCTTAATAGAATATTTTGTGTGTCTATCATCACAATTTCTTAGATAAAATATGAATTTTGCACTATAATTGGGTTTTATTTTCAAAAAATTGTTCATAATGATAGAACCAATCAATACTAATAATAATTAATAGATTTAATTTAATGCAAAACACAAGTTTCATGTACTAACCGAAAGTAATCTCATTTTCCATTCATTTTCATTTCTTGAGATAAATTTAATATTCAAACAAACCATAATTGAATTTCACATATTAAAGATCAAACATAAAGATAAAAACAACATAAGGATCAAACATCAGTACAATTTGGTTTAACTAAATTTAAACATTTTTTCATATGCTCTGATTGTGGTTTGAACGAGTTTAACTCCTTAAGCCTCTTGGTGATTAGATGTCTACTCCGTTCCTCATCAACTGCTTTTTTTATTAAGCGACCCAAGTGCACTAAGAAAAGAATTCCCATCACAGTGCTCCACACGATGACTGCAATCACAATAGTAAAACTAAGTGATTCTCTATCAATTTTTGGTGTGACCACAACAATAGAGATTGCATATGTCACTGTCATTGATGTCACAGTCAACCACATGATCACAACTAGAAACGACATGCAAATTCTTCTCTTGAATACCAATCCACTTATGAGCAACATGATTGTGCTTAGAGATGCAACAAATCCTATCGTGCTAGCACGAAGGAAATATGGGTATGAATTTGGATAATTATAAGCCATTATAGCTTCCCCAGCTCTATGCCCATTTGAAGTGTCTTGCCAAACACCACCTGGAGGATTCACCCCAGCTTGAAAAGCTATTGTTGCAATGAGTGTTGCCACCAATATTAATGTTTCCTTTTTCTTTGCTAACCACTCACCCTGTCCGACATCCTTACCACTCATAGCTCCAGCTTTTCGAAATTTATGTTCAATAGTATCTAAATTTTCCACATCCTTTCCAACTTGTGCTAGAATGTCCAATGCTGTGAACCCACTAGCATTTTTCACATTTACGTCTACTCTCCCATTGGAAAGCAGATATTCTAAGACCTGCAAAATAAATAATAAATAAATAAAACTTGGAATTGAATTGACTAGCAAGTTGGAAAATGTATAATCATGTTACTGCCAAGTGAGAGGAAGAAGTCTTTTAGGTTGTCATTGTGTTGATTTAATCTCTATAATTCTAGTAATAGCAATTTTGTTTTTGTTTTTTTGATTTTTTATATTGTGTCAATTTAGTCTAATTGATAACATATATTAAGAGACTACACAAAAATTTAGAGCAAAATATTCCATGAAAAAAAATGCTCCATTCAAAAAGAAATTAATCATTTCAAATTGGATGTTATGCCCTCAATTACTTTGAGGAGAATAAATGAATTCTTTTGCCCTTTGATTTCAGTCCAATTTTGAAAGAAGTGTGATAAATTGGACTAAATTGATACAATGTTGTAACTGAAGGGTAAAACTAATGTAATCAAAACTATAATAACTAAATTGACACAAAAGACAAACTAAAAGAACTATAGGTATAATTTACCCTAACTTTAATTACTTAAGGGACAAACTAAAAGAACTACAAGTATAATTTACCCTAACTTTAGTTACTTCTGATAATATATTACTTAGCTAGAACTTTGACCCTATCATATATATATATATATATATTTTGTTTAAAGAAGATAAAATAAAATAGGAAAATATTTGTTGCAGTCATACCTCGACTTGTTTATTTGCCACAGCTAAATGTAAAATGGTGTGGCCTCCTCCATCTATAGCATTCACAAACTCTTTATTTTTAATAGTATCCATCAGTTCTTTCAGAGACTCAAATTGATTACGCATCACACATAAATGTAAGATAGTCTCACCCCGGTCCATCACGACTTCAGCTGCATGGGGGTTGGCTTGAACTAACACTTTCAACACGTCGATCTTGCCCTTCATGACAGCAAGATGGAGCGGGTTTCTACCATCTTTGTCACGAGCTAGACACATGTCAGGGTCTACCAATATCAACGCTTGTACAATCTGAACGTGCCCTTTAGCTGATGCCAAGTGAAGGGCAGACCGTTGTGAAGAATCCAAAACTTCAACAAGATCTGGATTTAAAACCAAAATTTCTGTGACGAAATCTGTATGCCCTCGTAACGCAGCAACATGCAAAGGACTCCAACCAAAGGAACCAAAGGTAACTCTATCAAGAACTAGTGGATCTTCTTCAAGTACTTTATGTAATAATGTGACACTACCTTTTATTGCTGCTTCATGAAGTCTTTGTTCCATTTTCTCTCTTACTGTTATATACTCAAAATTCACATGAAACGAAAATTGTACAGAATAGTGTCATTCTTATATTCAATAACATACTTAGGATAATAATTTATAAGTATGTTATTTTTACAATTTTTTTTTTATAAGAGATAATTTAAATATTAAAAAAATTATATTAAATTGAACAATCAATTATGTAAGGAAGTTCAATAGCGGGTACCCGCAATTCCAACACACCAATCATTACATCTATACAAGAAAGAGTGAAATAAGCAATTAAAAAAAATGCCCCTTAAATTAATGCCCATAAATAATTAATCTTTACTTTTGACAATAATTAACCTTGGTTCCAGACCAACTAAAATAATTTAGTTGGTTATAAAAGCAAACTATGTACAAAATTTTGGTGATTTTAACCTTTTCCTTAATATATTTCAGTCAATTTTTATATTTTATGAGTGGGAAGAGTTGGAACCGATTTGTTTTTGTGATTAAATATTAAGCAAGCAATGTGACAGGGTGGGAAGAGTTGGACCCGATTTGTTTTTGGTATAAATCAAGCAATGTGACGGGGTTGATAGACTTTCATTTTATTTTTTTATAATAATGATGTACTTATCATATTTTTATATCACACTAAATAAATTATTAGTTATGATATTACCAATGATTTTATATTAAAAAAATTGTTACTGAAGTCCAACTTTAACAAATTAATTAGCCTAGCTGCAAAAAAGGGCAAAAAAAAAAAAATTCAAATTTGCATGCAGACAATTCACACCTAGACCAAGTTTAGTTTATGATTTAATCCGAATCCGACCCGATAATCCGAATCCGTTTACAAAAAAATCTGATCCATAATTCGATAATCCGAATCTGTTTAATCCGTTTATTAAACGGATTGAATATGCAAAAATTTGATCCGATCCGATAATCCGATCCGATTATTCTCAATTTGAATGAAAAAAACACAAAAAAAAAAAATCAAATTATATAAAATTATAGCTCAATAAATAAATAAATGAATCGGATCGGATTATCGGGTCGGATATCCGAAATCATCGGATTCGGATATCTATAATTGGATATGGACTAAACGGATTCGGATCAAATTCGGGTTTGTCTTAATCAGATTAGATTCAGATTTAGATTTTGACAGATCCGATCAGAATCCGATCCACTTACAGGCCTAGTTTATGAGTAACGGTATACTTGCCTCCTTTTTATATCATTTTTAATATGAATAATGCTATATGCACTAATTAGTATACACACTAGTGTATCAAAAGATGATGTGGCTTAATTTTAGAGGTTTTGGATGCTTGTAATTTGTATAATAAATAGAGTCATTAATGATATCATAACACTAGTTAATACACTAGTGTGTACACTAAATAGTGCATGTAGCACCACCGTTTTAACATATCATCTCATGTGTCAACATATTATTTGATATAAATATAAGTGGTGGGACCCATCATTACATACCATTACACTAATGATAAGTTAACACATGAGGTGGTATATTAAAAATGGTATACAAATTATTATTAATTTATAATGTTCAGGGGCTTGGGCAAATAAACTGATCAACTTAAAATTGTGTTTGGACAACTCTCAACACAATTCATTATTGAATAATGCTATATGCACTAATTAGTGTACCAATTGATGATGTGACATAATTTAAGATGTTTTTACAATTTGTAATTTATATAATGAGTCGAGTCAATAATAATGTCATAATTAGTATTTGTACACTAGTTTGTATACTAATTGGTACATGTAACACTACCGATTCATTATTATGTTCAAGGGCTTGGGCAAATAAATTGATCAACTTAAAAATTGAGTTTGGACAACTCTCAACACAATTTAAGCTAGGTCTAGGTCTAGATAACTCCTCAACTTAACCAAACCCATTCAAGTTGCACCCGTACTTTTTTTTGAATATATAGGCCTTACTATCGATGTTGAAGGCTCATAGTAATACAAAAGAAAGGAAAATGTTACGATGCATACCCCTATCATAAGAAAATTATAAACTTTTATAGTCGTATAATTACGAAGGGGTGCGCCATTAGAAAATTCTTAGTGACAAGTTTATATAGTTATGTTATGTAGCCTGTGTTTGGCAAGGGTTTTTTCAGGCTTTTTTGGTTATTTTAGCCACAAAAAACAAAATAGGCTATTTTAGCCATAACAAACAAAATATCACATCCAACCTATAATCATTACATTCTTCTCTCACAAAAAAAGTCAAAAAAGCCAAAAAGCTAAAAAGCCCTTCCCAAACCAAGCTTTTTAGCCCAGGCTAAAATAGCCAAAAAAACCAAAAAGCCAAAAAGCCAACCCACTTCCCAAACGGAGGCGTATATATATTTTTTCGGCGAAAGAAAATTATGCCATTTTGTAATTTATATTACAAATTTGTGTGGTATAGTTGGAGGTCATCATGTGACGCATGAAAACCTTGCATTGCCTGGCATGGCTCAACTTGCTTCTGTGCCCAACCCATTTCAACTCATATATAGGGTAAATTATTCAATATTCTTGAAGTATTACATGTATGTATTTCCTAATCAATCATTATTCAATATGAGATATGTTTTTAAAATCAAGAAAGTGTTATAATGGGAGTACAAACACTTTCTTGGTTTTAATTACATATATATTTTTTATGGTTATCTTATAATGGAAGATTATTAGGTTTTTAATGTGTAATCGATATGTTTATTATATAAAATATTTTTAGTTTTGGATTTTTTAATTTAATGAATTGCTTTAATAGTAACATCAAAATTGTTGCCATATTCGACTTTTGAAAAAACAGAAACTAATTTAATGAAAATAAATATAAAAAACAAATTAATTTAAAAAAAATTATTTATACTCTCCCAAAAGATAAAATTATATAAAAATGATGTGTTTTAATTTTTTTTTCACCTATTTAATTTTTTGTTTCTTAGAAAAAAATTTGAAAATAAATTCTGAAAACCAAACCAAACAGAATTTTAAAACCAAGAAAGTGTCAACATTATTAATTAAAAAAAATGTCATTACATTTCGAACAACATACAAATTATCTAATACAAAATAAGTTATATGACGACTTTACCTTTGAAATGCATCATTTGCAAACGATACATCTTTGATTTTCTTTATTTAGAATAAGATTCAAAATTCAGGGTCAAATGTATTACAATTGACAAGTCAAGGACCAAAACGATACAAGTCCCAAACTACTGTTAGTATAATTTACCCTAAATTTTTTGACCTGTTGTGTTGTTTATTGACAACCCTTAAAAGCTATGATTAGCAAGACGCTTTTCTTCTTCTTCTACTTCTTCTCCTTTCTTTTTTTTTTTTCTTGAAAAAAATATACTCCTAATTATAAAAGGGAACAAACCAATCTCTCTCATTTTGTTCTCATTCACTGTTTGTTCTCTAAGATCTCTCAGCTCTTCAATAAATTTATGGCTTTTTATTAAATTTAGATTTCTTCAGGAAAAATTATAAAACAAAATTTCAGGTTTATTCTAGTTTTGGAGTGGGATTCGGGCATTCTCTTGGGCCGGGTTTCGAGCCCTAACCTTTGGCCCATCCCAACTTCTTTTTATTTTTTAGGTAAATTACAAACACACCCCTAGGATTTATTTAAATTATAAATTACCCCTATAATTTTAAAAATTACATTATGTCTCCTAAATTTTTTAATTTCATAACAAATAGGTCTTTTTATTAATAAATCATCAAGTTAATTAACAGTTTTTAATAATGTCAAAATTTTATTTCAATTAATAATTTAAATAATTTTATTGCTGTATAGGTGAACAGTTAGAAATTTTACTTTTTTAATTAATTTTGTTAAATAAAAAATTTAGACAGGATGGTATTTATAATTTTTCAAATAATGGAGAATAATTCACATTTTAAGCAAATTTTAAAGAATATATTTGTAATTTATCTTTATTTTTTTGGTAGAAATTGAAAATGTCTAATATGCAATTATAAGTTATCAATGGTTGCCAGTTCAAAAAAAAGTTATCAATGATTGCGAAAAACATACGTCATCAAAATTTTATATTAAACCAAAATAGCTGGGATCTTAAAACTCATTATAACACAATAATTTGTAGTCAATTGATTTAGATATTAATATTTTGGGTACATTACGCATATCCCTTGAGGTTTGGAGAAAATATACTAAATCTTATAATATTGACATAATTATATTGAATTCTTATAAAATTTTAATTCACATAACACTTAGTTTTTTTCCATCAATAATTTATGAGTCATACGAATGAAAAATAATATTTTCATCTCATTTTACACTTAAATATATATTTTTCTTGTTTATTTTTATATTTTCAAACTATTTGTATTAGTTTCGGTCTATTTAGTCTTACTAAAAGGAAAATCAATGTAATTTTTTGATCAATATAATTATACTAAAATTATGATCCTGCTTGTATTTTCTCTAAATTTCAAAAGGGATCAATTTAATTTACTTTTAACATTTTTTATGTAATCATTCTTTAGTAGATGAAAGAAAATTTAATGAAGAGGTCTGTTGGTGCAAATTCATTAATGAAAAGCAAAAATATTTATTTTCTTTTTTTATGTCATCATTTTTTTTGCTTTCACTTTCATGAGAAACATATATGTCTAATTTCCTTTCCATTGCCACTCAAGAGACCTTCTAGTGTTTTCCATGTTGACTTTTGTTTATGTTTTAATGTGCTGTAATGTTGTGTTCTTAAGACTTTTTTGGCCATTTTTATTATGTCTAGACTATTATTAAACTCCATTCTTTCCTTTCCAAAAGATTAATCTCTATAGATGTATATAATTATAAAAATATTCATGTCTATTGAACAAGTTCAAGAAGTTTCGAGTGGTCAACCCCATCAACTTGCATGAATTATTTATTATTTCAATTTTTTAGGATCGTGTATGTTTGTTTTTGAATTAATTACAACTAGCACTTTACACATTTATCAAAATCTTATTTTGATCCTTCCATTTTAATTGTC